CTATACATCCGTAACCAGAATATTGCATTCACCTCCACTCCGTACTTGCGCTGAAACTCTCGATCGAACGCTACACGGGGTACGAATTCAACTCCGACATGTTTGATTTGCTCGTTGTCGGAGCGATCAGACTTCCCATCCGCCCAGACTTTCGTAAGACGACCGTCCGGATCTCGCCAAGTGAGATATCTCATTGTTGGGTGGTTGTGTGGATGGTTCATTTGGTGAAGAACTTTCCGTTGTTGCTTGCGGATCCGACGAAGCAGAGAACGTGTATAGATCGGTATGTTGCCCTGTGACTTCTCCAAAGCGACAAGATCGACAGGGTAATTAAACCACTCCTGCGATGTCGGTGGTCGTTCTGTATATGAATCCTCATCAGAGTCATCAGAATCGTAGTCAGAGCTGAAGTCAGAATCACAACCACAGCCACAGTAACTTCCTAGCTCTTCCTCGGAATCGCTAGCTGAAGGATTCTCAGAAGGGTTGTCCGTATCCTCGATGTCAGGTATCACGTCGTCAGCCTGTATCTCTTTAGCCGAGGATGGTTTCTCGGAGGGTGAAGGTATACCAGAAGATGGTCTGGCCTTGGACTGAGATCTTGTTGTCATCGGCATGGCGAGCGATGGGGCCGATGTTGCGAATGAACCAGTTAGCGGGTTGAGGGAGATGAAGATGAGATCGACATGGATGTTCCCAGGCAACTTATAGCATTGTGCACCTCCTTGTACGTATTCATTAGCAAACTGCGAACAAACAGTGTAGTCCTCAAACATGTCGCAGCCGTGAAGATCAGTAGTGAAACAGACTGATGTATACCCCAGTCAATGCGATGGCCTTTCATTCCAATGTCTCAATCGCATGCGAAGGCGGCAAAAGTTGAGACATGTGTGAGCTAAAAGTCTTTACCCGATTCAGTTCGTCGTATCCATGCATAGGTGCTGTGACGGATATCGACGCCATGGAGGTGAGCCCTAATGATACGCTTGCTAGTATAATGGCCTTCCAGCCACCTTTACTTGCCTACTGATCCTGAACGTGCCGTTCTTGGATTTCGCCGCTTTTTCGCACCCATAGATCCATGTTGTTCAGCCAGTAAAACCTGTTATTCTCCACCCAATCTGCTCCATATGCATCTGCCATGAGCTCATCTTCTAATCCGTGATGTCCAAACATATCCTCTTCCCTTTCGTATTGATTTGTTAAATGTTGGGCAACGGCTGGAGATGCGCGCTCGCTGAACGAGTATTCTCGCTTCTCAGTATCGACTTCCATGGCGTCGCATAGTATTGCTGCTGGGCCTTGGCCAGGATTTTCCGAGAATAGATCGGCAATTATCTGGACCAGTGGCATCCAAAAGGGGATATAAGCTGTCACGACTAGTGTACCCGCATCGATTGCGAGAAAACCATCCGGGTCAGACACGAAGCTGATATTGTCGTTGTTGTTGAATAGCGTTCGCAAGATCTCATGATCTTTGGTCTCGTAATTCGGATCTTGTAGTACCAGCTTGATCAAAGGCCGAGCGGGGTCAGCCTGATGGTAGTACTGATTTAGTGCTTGTATAATGCTGAAGATGGCCATATATTGGATGGCGGAATGGTACCAGTTCTTCTTAAGATTAAGCGCGCCTATCCCAAAGCAGACAACCTGCGTGATCGGTGCGCACGTCTTGGCTGTCTCCTGGAATGCTTCTATCAGCTGTCTTTTCGCGGAACTCGCTATCCAAAGGCGTTTTGTGTGTTGTATAGTGCTCCAATATGTCCTCATCTTTGCTAAGTTCTTGTGTTCATTGAAGAAGCATCGATCAAAGGTTGTGAAAGTGTATGGCGTGTCGATGCAGTCTTGCTTGTGGTCTTTGTTGTAGCGTCGGAGAGTCTTGATCTGTTCCGAATGGTTTCCATATTGACTTTGGAAGTCAGGATGCATCTCAACTCGCGAGAGATAGTCAACTTGGATGGTGTTGGCATTGACGCCATTATCCCGATTCCAGACCCTGTACTTTTTCTTGCTCAGCCCGGAAGCATCAACATGATTGAGTACCTGCTTATTAGATGGTAAAGTGAGCTCTCCACGGATCTGATCAGCCCAGCACTTTACACGCTCGAGTAGTGCGCGCGTATAAACTGGTTTGTGCGCATGCTGGAGCTCTTGAGTAGCAAGATCTACACGGTATTCGAATGCATCAGAGTCGTCTGAATCGTCCGGGTCAATCTCCTCGGGGGTCACGAATTCGTCTTCGTGTACTTCGTAGTCGTCTTCTTCCTCTATGGCAAGCTTGTGGACTCCATCGACTACGTCTGTAGCCGGTTCGACAGATCCATACGATGTTGTCGTCGCAAACAAGTCGGTTGATTGATGCGAATCCATTGCCTGCGTTTAATGAAGGATCTAGAGGTAAACGTTGCACTGATTTGTATAGTGGGTTGAATGGTTAGAATAATTCTGTTTAGAAGCGTGAGCCCTGGAGCTTTCTACTGCGGCCTTTTTCACACTGTTGAGAGAACCGTGGTTCGAATGCCACTGTGAAATCTCTTCCATGTTTACAGAGCCAATACGACCCAACCCCATTCAAACCAGGATATTATACTTGCGATTTCCCTCATTCGTGGGAGTATCTTTTCGTCAAAGTTGTCGATGTTGCGGAAGTTGTGAGTGGCTCGTCTCGCTCTGCGTCACACAGATGTGAGTCAAAGAGGACCCATTCAAACCACCCTACACCTGATCTTGACTGCGCCTTGGTCATACGATACCCACATTCTGCTCTGCACATGTGCACGTCCGGCTTCCAGCTGCTACATAGGGTTCACACTCTGTTCTCTGTTCAGAGAGCGGTTCTGGCAAAACATCCGCAATGACCCGGGTGAAAGGCCGCGCAGGGACAAGCCGGGAATTCGCACCGCAACTGTGCTGTGGTTGGCAATCGCTTGCCAAGGCTCTTTGTAATATGACGTTCGCGACTGGCATAGCTCGAGAAGTAACCACCCAGTTCTTACACAAAAGAGATGTATCATGCGTGCGTGCAATAACGACAAGATCACCCGACGATGCCGACGTCGATAGGGGGTCAAGGCGCCTAGTGCGTTAGTTGGCTTGCCGCGGTTCTTTTTCAAGAAGCCATGACCCCTCTGAGCTGAAAAGAAAAAGCAATCTGCGATACATTGCAATCGCGGAAGCTGATGCGCATCTCACATTTGGATAGTGTGGATGAGATTAGGGCGCATTCGAGTACCATGCCGACGTTCTAGCGGAGTCCTGCCTGGGCATGTCATCGACCCGCCAGCTCCAAGCTCTTTCTTCATAGTTCCTGACTCATACGTGTGCCTTACGAGGTTTGACAACGATGTAGGTTGTGTGAACGCGTCCACTGTGACATGTAGGTAAGGCGGCTTTCGCGTCTATATATGGGCTCGTGCTTCCTCGACTCCTGCTTAACGGGTGGCATTATACCATCGTACCGTTAGTTAGGGTCAGATTTTGATGTTCCTGTCTTGAGGATGACGCTATGATGCGAACGCGAGATGATTGATGCGGCGGAAGGTGCCGGATGACGCACAACCCAATGGATTGCGACGTCGACCACAACCGCATCACATGTCGGAGACTATATCTATCTCGTTACGAACTCCGGAATGCGAATGCGAGATGTGCCGCGGCTGCCGACAAGTTCGATTCGGCCTCGTCTGGAGCAAACGTGGCATAGTGTGGGATCATCCTTGTGCGCAAGATTCTCCCGACCCACCATCCACAGCATCGTCCACACGTACCTCACCTTCGCATTCGCATTGTTCCCTCATCCTGCGGCTTGAAACAGCGAGACGGTCCGTTGCGACGATAGCCTGATCGGTTGGTCACCACTGTCAAGGCCCAAAGCTTTGGTCTCGGGTCACGGTAGTTCGCTGCAATGCCGCGCCTCGGCCACAAAAAGTCCGTAATCATCACGCCACACTCCAACCACTCGTCACCCACTACCCCGTACCCTCGAGCCACAGCACCCCCGTTTTATAACTCAAAACCACTGTTCGCTCCTATCTGACCCGATCACGTTCTCTAGGTCCAGACTAGGCTGCCAGCAATGTAAAGCCCGCCATGTCAAGGTAGGACACAACATCTAACTAAGCATTACACGCTTACGGGGACTCGATACTGAAGTAGCTCAGTGTGATGAACTCAAGCCGTGTACCAACTGCGCCCGCCATGGCGTTCCGTGTAGCCTCGTCGTATGGGATCCCAGCGCATCCCAGTCAGCTCATTCGGCATCTTCCGCATCATCTGCATCACGACGTACGAATCAGTCACCGCTCGAACGATCTATATCTGTATGCCCCATAAAACGCCATGAAACATAGTCGTTCTTTTCTCATTGGTGTAACAGGGTTCATCGGCATCGTCTGCCCACGTGGCCTACCCGCGCAACCCGTCGTCCGCAGCCGGAGCGAGGGCCGTCTCGACTATCTCGGAAGAGGATTCTTCCGACTCGCAGTCGGACGCATACCCTTTCTTGACTAGATATATACACAGAAATCAACCGAGTCAGTCGTCGCTATGGTTGCGGGACCTAGAGCTTTTGTAAGTCAGTTGGGCACTTGCAAGGAACACCACCAACTGTTTTTAGACACCACTGGACAACAGAGGCATTTGATACCCTGTCCCAGCGCCCTACTATTCGGCATATGTGGAGAGTCGAGGCTCCCAAACAAGCCAACGCACATGACTTTTTCATGCATGAGATTTTGGCATTTGCAGCGCTACACAAAGCATATCAACAACCTCAAGATCAACGGCAGCCATACTATGCCTGCGGCATCCATCATCAAGATCTCGCCATTCGGGGAGTTCGAGAGAAGCTTCAAAACGTAACAGACGAAGACGCCCCGGCGATAGTAGCCACGTCGACACTGCTCACATTTAGCGTATTTGCTTCAACGGGATTCGAGGCCCAGACACCTGCTACTGCACCTGTCAACGACATTGATAGTCTTGTGAATGCCTTCCATCTCATGCAAGGTATGGGACACGTTCTTGCGCTCGCTCAAATGGCAGTGAGGGACTCTTTCCTCGGCCCGATATTGAGAGATCCGTTGGAACCTACTGCATCGCAGCCCGTGCTGCTAGAGTTGCAAAGTCAACTACCGGCACTGGTTACATTCATTGAAGGGAGAACTGACCTCTCGGAGGCCGAACGAAAACTATATCTTACTGTCATTTCCCTCTTCGAGCCCGCTTTCCAGATATCGCTGCCTGCTCGAGTGGATAACCGGGAGCTACGTTTCCTATTCTTTTGGCCTCTGCAATTAGGACCAGACTTCATGGAAGCTATTCAACAGCGAAGGTCAGGCGCGATCGTAATCCTCTTGTACTATACGACCATGTTCCATGCAGCTGAAACGCGATACTGGTTCATGGAGGGCTGGGGACAGCGGGTATCGAAGGCATGCCACCAGGCCATTGACCAGAGCTGGGCGCCCGCTATTCAATGGCCTCTATCTTTTCTGGAGCAAGGAGACTCATGGAGCTTGTTCGCAAACGTCATAAACCGGGGACAGGCTTCTGGGTCGGCACCAGCTTCTCAGCAGCCATCGGCAGAAACAACACCTCAGCGAGAGGCTCCAACTATCGGATCTTCAACGTCTGGCGCCGAGCCGTCGCAATCTTACTCTATCCAGCGACGAGGCTCGAAGTACGCCGTTCAGATGGGTGCTGCAGAGGACGAACAAGTTCCGGGCGAAGACGAATACTAGGCTTGGCCTCGTGGCCAGACCACTCATCACGACCTGGCAGGCTCGCAGCTGACACATACCTAACACGGGTGTGGAGCGATCTAATACATATTATCACGATGTTGGCAGATTATGGACCTGCAGTTCTCTAGCGGCAGTATAGCCTCGGGTCGATCCCATCATCCCCATTCAGTGGTACCGCCGGCTGGGTGACCGACGGCTAGGTACCCGCATTAGCAGCGGCTTCTCGCCGCGTACCACGGCCGGCAGTACAACGAGATTCACAGCCAATGATTAATAAATTGCGGCGTAGTCGCTGCAATTCTAATCACAACACATATTTGGATGAACGTCATTGTGAGCTGATGCCTGTGGCGTAAATACGAACAAGAATGTGTTCGTATCTGTCGACCGTTCGGTCGGGGTATGATGGCTTACCACTGTGTATTGCATTCGATACACTTGCACGCCAAGAATGCGCCCTTCTCCTTGCAAAATATGACCAATTTACGCCCGCCTTCCTGTTTATTGCCTACACTAAATACCTTCAGATGTACTCTCCTATGTGCCCCGCGTAAGCGCGTTGTAACAGTCATCGTGTGGCTTTGCCCCACAAAATGACCGCTATTGCGACATCCTAATCCCACGATCGGTATGATATTTGCGACTTGCCACGTCAATCGCGCTCAACAACATACCAGGCTGACTTGCCTTCGATCCTGCCCAATATGCGGCCCATGTGTTGTGTGACGGCCCCCAAAATGCTTTTCTTCACACACCAGGCTGTGCCGCTTTCTCACATAAGTCGCATGCAGGCCTACTGCATGCTCCTTTAGCCAGCCGCTGAGGTGCTCTGGAACAAAGAGCGGTGGCGTAAGTCTACTATTGTGCACCTTCCGTATTGAGACGATGGAATGACGGGAAATGCTGAGCCTCATTGTTGGGGAGGAGTAACTTTCAATCATTTGTTTAAAGTTGGTGACTAGAGAAGGACGCGGAGGTGGAAATTTGATCGATAATTCCTTCGCACCCGCAGCGCTAGACTTAGCGTTTCTAATAAACTGTAGTACAGTACTTTTAAGGCTATTGTGTAGTACATATAGCTTAATTATTAGTATTATATATATAGTAGTAAATATAATATAGCTAGAGACTATAGTGTAGTTACTTAGGCTACTTATACATTAAATATATATCTAATTAGGTAACCTATTACTATAGAGTAGTAAATTAAAGCTATAGTTAATACTACAGGAGCTCTAGAGACAGCGATCTTAACCTAAGTTATTACTGCGATTTCTACTATTACTGCTACTACTAATAGCCTTACTACTAATAGCCTTGCTATTACTATTACTGCCTGCCTCTAAGCTCTTAATGTAGTAATCTAGCTATAAAAGCTCGCTCTTAATAATATTATTACGTAGCTAGTTCTTCTAGAGTTATAAAGCCTCTATTATAGACGCTCTAAGATAGTTATAATTATTAGTAATTATCTATTTAGTAGTTAAAAAGTAGCGCTTATACTTATAGCTAGTAGTAGAGATAGAGAGAATATTAGTAGCTATCTAGAATATAATAGAGTACTTATTATAGCTAACTTAAAGCTACTAGCACTATAAGTTATAGAGAAGCTTATATTACGCGTTTAACTATATAAGATAATTATTATAAAAGTTATTAAAGTACTTCTTAAGCTAGGTACTACGCTTCTAGTACTTATATATTTTATTACTAGTAAAGTAGTATATATCTACTACTATTATCTAACTATATAGATTATTATTATTACTATTAAGTGCTTTACAGCGTAGTAGTAGTAGTAGCTCTAGCTTCTTATAATTTAGCTCTACTACTAAATACTTACTATAGACCTTCTTAATAGAGGCCTCTATAGCCTTTACCTACTTAGAATATAGCTTCTAGTAAGTCTAAAACTAAGTAAGGCGTAGAGTAGAGTAGAGAGCTATTATAATATAATAATAGCTAACGTCTATATTAATAATAAGCTTATTAAAGTAGTTATTAAGCTTCTACTTACTATATATAATAGCAGCAGTAAAGTACGCGCTACTACTATTATTAGAGTAATTAAAGTAGGCACTCTCTATTATATAGTAATTCTATAAGATTTATAGATTTATTAAGGTCTACTATAGTAATCTAAATCTAGAAACGCTATTACTACTCTTAAGGCGCTTTATTATCTTAATAAGTAGCTATAGAAAGTTAATAAGCTACTATATAGCTTTCTACTCTTTCTTAGTAAGCGCGTTAGTAAGTAGGTTATAGGCGTTATTAAGCTATTATAACGCGCTCTATAACCTTATTATAAAGCGCTATATACTATTTTAAAGCTCTAGGTAGTAGAGAAGTATATAATATACTAAGTACTAGTAGACGCCTCTATTTTAGCGCAGCTAAAGCGTATTATAGGTATATAGAGTGTTATTATTATTAAGTAATTTCTTCTATACTAATAGAAAGAGCTTATAACGCTTATAAGACGTGTAGACTATATTTATAAAGTTATAGAGCTTACTAATAATACTTTATAATTAAAAGAGCTTATATTATTATATTATAAACGCCTTTATAAGATTATTCTTAAACTAGCTAACGCCTTTACTATATAGCGTTGCCTTAATAATAAGATTTATAATATAGCTAGCGTAGCGTATATAATTACTTAAAAAGAGATAGATATTAGAGTACTAGTTAAGGCCTTTAATAAGCTTACTATTATTATTAAAGGTGTTATTACTAATAAAGGCTTATAATTATAGCGTAACTGTAAACTTATCTAGAACGCTAAGTATAATAGTAGCTTACGTAGTGTAATAGACTGCGCCTAGAAAAGTTCTTAGCTAGAAACTTTAGAAACCTAGTCTAGTTTTAGCTAAGCTTAGAAAACTCTTCTAAAGTATATAGCTATCTAGAAAGCTCTTCTTTCTAGGCTATTAAATTTATCTATTACCTTTCTAGTACTTACTCTTAGAGTTAGCCTTTTATAATTAAATTTAATTAATACTCTAAAGAAGTTTATAGAAACTCTCTTATTATAGATATAACTTTATATACTTTAGTAGAGAATATAGCCTAGTATACTATTACTTTAGTAGAGTAAAGTAATAGCTAAGAGTATATTACTTAGTAACTTTAGTCTATATTAAATATAGAGATAGACGCTAATAAGAAATAGACTAAACTTTAGCTAGTTAAAGAGATACTAAAGATATAAACTAAATAGACTTTAGTCTTTCTTTTCTTAGATATATCTAATACTAACTAACTTATAAAGAATAATACTACTTCTTTAAAACTACTTATAGAACTAGTAATTACTTAAAAAATACTAAACCTTCTCTATTATAGAATTACGTAACTTAAGAATAATATATAACGTAACTTTTTTTCTCTAAATATATTTACTTTCTCTTTTTTTTCTACTCTAACTAATATATACACTATAAGAGCTAAATAAGCTAAAGCTAAACTCTTTAGACTATAAAACGCTTAAGCTAACTTATTATAATTTATTAAAATTCTAGACTTTTACTCTTTTACTAAAGACTAAAGTAACTACTAAAAGTTTAAACTCTAGATAGTAAATAAGCTATAATATAATAAAGAGAAGCTAGAAAGCTAACTAGAGTATATCTTCTCTAAGTTAATAGATAGAGTAGTAAGTATTACGCTATCTTAGATAAGTTATTTTAAAGAGTCTAGTAACGTAAATATATTTTAGAAGTTTCTAGACTAGTAGTTCTTAAATAATATATTAGAGAAGAGATTATAAAGAAAGTTAATAATATTTAAGTAAAGTAGTAAAGTATACTTAGATAAATTTAACGCAGCCTTTATAAAGCTTACCTTTAATACTAAAGAATTCTATAATAAGTACTTTAAAATATAGTACTTTAGTACCTTAAAACTAGACTTTAGGTAGCTTATAATACTTATAGTTATTCTAGATAACTAGACTATTATATAACTAATAAATTACGTAAGAATTATTAAGAAAAACTAGTACTACGTAAAGCTAAAGTAAAACTTTAATAAGTTCTAAACTAAATAGTTAATAAGTAGAAGTAATACTATAGATTAGAAGCCTACTAAAACGTACGTAGAAAGAGTTAGTAGAAACTCTTTAAATAAATCGCGCGTAAAATAAGTAACTAATAAGAAGTAAGCGCGCTAAAGAAAAGAGCGCTTATATATGCACTATAGTAAAGATAGATATTACGCTATATAATATCTCTTACTACTAGCTATAAACTCTTTAAGCTCTACTTATATTAAGATAGTAAGCGCGCTACGCGCTAAAGTAGAAAAGAATAGTAGTAATAAAGAAGTTTCTAACTTAGAAAACTAAATCTTTTTACCTAAAATTATAGGTAGAAGAATAAGAAGTTAGAAAAAGTAAAGAGACTAGTAGAGTTTTAAAGAAAATAGCCTAATAAAACTCTAATAATAATATACTTACTAATTAATACTACTAAAGTTATATATACTATAATTAATACTAGTTATCTTATATTTAGAATAGTCTCTACTAAGTTTATAAAGTAAGCTAACTTAATATATATAGAAGTTCTCTAACATTCTATAATTAAAATTAGAGGTAAAGTAGAATAGATAACTTATATAGCGTAAGTATTTATAGATATTAATAGGTATAAGAAAGATGCCTAGTTATAAAAAATTAAGAGTAAGAATAAATATAATATTATTCTTAGTCGCCTCTAGATAGATAAGAATAATATAGTTCTAGCTCTAGCTAAGAAATTATTTTTTATATACTTAAGTAGTACTTAAGTTTATAGTAAGAAAGAAAAAAAACTATATAATATATTCTTCTCTATTTCTACTAGTGCCTTTGCAGTATAAATATAGAGATTAAGAAAGAATAAAGTAGTATAAGTATAGGCAGCCTTACTAGCTAATATATAGAAAACTCTAAATAAGAAACTAAAAGAGAACTCTAGAGATAAGCTACTTAATTACTTATAATTAGAGTT